ACTGTGTGACCTTGAGCAGGCTGCTGATCTCTCTCTCTCCACTTACTCTCCTGCAGGATGGGGGTAACGGCTGTGGTGAGCACTGAATGGGATGCCAGTTTGGATCTGGAGTGTCTCTTGAAGGCCTGTGTCACAGGCTTAGTCCTAGCATGGGGCTATTGGGAGGTGGGGGGACCCTTGGGAGGTGACACTCCAAGCAAAGTGCTTAGGTTACTGGGGGGGCCCTGGAGGGAGACTGTGGGACTCTGGCCCCTTCCTCATCTACTTTCCTGCTTCCTGGCTAGGATGTGAATGGTTTTGCTAGGCCCCCCATGCCCACCATAATGTGCTGCCACCCACAGCCAAAGCAATGAGGTCAATTGACCATTGACTGGAACTGCCAAAACTGTGAGCCAGAATAAACCTTCCCTCTTTATACACTGATTCTCTCAGGTATTTTGCTACAGTGACAGCTAACTAACACATGGGGTGATATATATAAAGTGCTAGCACATTGCCTATTTGATAAACGTGAGCTACTATTAGTCCTTAGCAGTGCTTTTCAGGAATTCCTTCCCGAGTGCAGTTTTTCATAAGAGACCTGGAAAAGCTTCCAGAATCAGAGTCACCATGAGACACAGGATACTCGGCACGCTGCCCAGGCCTCCTTTCAGGAGCGTGTGGTGGGGAAGAGGAGAGAGCGTAATGTGGGTTTGAGGGGCAAAGGTTTATTCAAAGCTCCTGGGAAGAGATGAGGATCCAGTTGGGAAACAGTTGCCACTTTACTTCTTTGTTCGTTTGTTTTTGTTTTTGTTTGTTTTTTTTGGTACCGGGGATCGAACTCAGGTCCTTGCGTTTGCGAGGCAGGCGGTGGAACCACTGAGCTAAATCCCTGGCCCACCACTTTACTTCTTGATGGGAAGGACTCAATTCCAAAGCCCCCACCCCGAGCCAGACCTCATCAGACTCTTTATTCTGAAACAGATGACAGGATATATGTCAGGGCAACCAGTGAGAGAGGGAGGGTGGCCTTCGAGGCCCTGCCAGTGTGATGTCACCACAGGAGGCACCTGAAGGCTGGTGTTTAATTATCCTGGTGGCTCCTGCATCTGCATTTACACCCCCGGACCCCCGCCTACCCTCCTCAGCTTCCCTTCTCCTTCAGATGTGAAGATAAACCAAGTGACTTATGGTAGATGCACATTCATCTTTTTATTAAGGTATCAAAACATAAACCTGGATACACAAAACAACTAACTTAAATGCATTTGTTAAAAGAACTCATGGTCACACTAACCACACAGTGCAATTCCCAGGTTAGGTGTCCTTGCCATCACCAATTCTCCCTTCCCCTAATCCCCTGCTGTCCGTGGCAGTTTACAGTGGTGTTGAGTCTCACAGCGGCTGGCACAGGCAACTCTACCTGTGGCCAGAGGGTTGATGCAGGGTGTATTAGCCTTCCTGACACGAAGACACAATACCCAACACCCACGACTTAAAGGAGTTTACTTTGGTTCCTGGTTTTAAGGGATTCAGTCCATGGTTGGCTAGCTCTAAAGGAGAAGCATCATAGTGGAAGGGCATGGCAGGACAAAGATGTTCAGCGGATGGCAGTGGGGCAGCAGAGCAGGGGAACAGTGCAGAGGCAGGAGCTGGGATCAGGTAGAGTCCCTAATTTCACACCTTTGTGACCCACTCAGAAGTGTGCTTTCCTAATCCCCTGGGTGGCTCCCAAGCCAATCAAACTGACATAGTCAAGCTTAACCAGAAGGGAACTTTCCCCTCCACCCAGATAAGACACACAGATTACAAATGAAAGAACGGGGAATGGTGCTGGCATCGGGTGACTCTCTACAGAGGAACAGCCCCCATGGGCAAGTCAAACAGCAAAATTAGTAAGCCTGCATCATACGCGGTCATTGAAAGGAACTATCCATGAGTTCAGAGAAGCAGGCACACCGTTCAGGCCGAAGAATGAAGTCAGTGCGCAGAACATCACAGTGAGAGCAGCAGAGTGGTCAGTTTCATCTCTGGCCTGGGAGTGGTATGTATGTGCTCAGGCAGAGAGCAAGGGACCCTGCTTCTATTCCAGACCCGAGGGGTCATCTGGCCTGGGAAGTCCAGAAAATTAAGTGGAATACCTTTCTGGGAACTACCACATCCATCCTGCCCCACGCTGTTCTCTCTCCCCCATCCCCTTCCCATTCTTTTTAGTGATATATGGAATACACTTACAATACGGAGACACACACTTGGATGTCACAGCACTTGTAATCCAAGCAGATAATTCCTTCAGAGGAGCGCAGTGCAGGAAAGGATAGTGTCAGAGGCTAGAGTCGGACAACAGGTGTTACAGACACTTGTACCTTAGAGAAAATGACAGTTGAAGTATTCAGCGATTCAGACTTTATATCTTAGCACCGAACAGGTGATCTGAAGGATATGCTTGGTGACATGTTTCAGGGTGTCAATGCCATAGACTGAGGAACAGAATTGAAAATCAACCATCCCACCTGGTGGTGCCCCAAGAAACAAAGGCTCACACCCCAAGATGTTCAAAGGGAATCATCCGCGTCATGAAGAGGGGACAGGTGGGGAGAGACTAGGTTCCAACCACCCACAGATTTAGAAAAACAGAAGCCAGCACAACATTTACATTTACCATGTCTTGGTTCCAACATTTATTACACCGACAGGAATACTGGGATAAATAAGTAATATTTTCTCTTACAGAAAATTGTAATGATAGTACTGAGGAGGATTTCACAGAAACATCAGAATTTTAACAGACAGTAACCAGAGTCCTGCAGCCAGTGTGAGTGAGTGACCACTCACAGCTGCAAATGCTCCAGCCTGGGTTTCTTCACACAGCTACTTGACAAGAACAACGCGTGAGCGTCCAGTAACATGAAGGTCCGGCCATCACTGGCTCCCACCATATGCCTCCACCGACTGGCTTCTGACCACCAGAAAAGGAGAACGCAATAGTCTTCAGGTCTTCTGGCCTAGAAATAACTCCTGACCTATGTCACTGAGTGGAGAGTCCTCAGCTCTTGCAAGTTGGACTTTCTTTGTTTTCTTCCCATGACACCAGAATTGAGTTTGAACAGGACTTGCAGCCCTGTCCCTGACTGCTCCTAATGCCTGGGCGCCATGGGAAAGGAGGCCTCACCCTACTGGCCTGCAGGACGGCTCTGCTCTCTGGGGCTTCCAAGGTCTTCGGGCCTCCTGAACACTCTTGAGACACCGTCCACGGCAACAGACCCCAGACTCTCAGACGTCAGCCTGAGGATAATCACGGAAAGAGACATCAAAAGAGCATGATGCCTAGTTTGGAAACGAATGCCTTGCGCACAGTAATTCTGGGACACAGCAGCGTATCTGCTAGAAAGCACAGCCCTGGCCATCACACTTGGATGCCTGCCGCTCTCGCTCCATATGCCCTGAGTGACGCTGGGCAGCCGCTGAGGAGGAGATGGCTCCACCCCGCCCACCCAAGGTACAGACACTTCTGTGTGAATCCTGACGGATGGGCAGGACCCTAACCAGGGGCCATTTGGACGGCAAAGAATGGCCAGTATGTTAAGACCTAAATCCTGGAGTTGAGGCAAAGGATGCGCTCGCCCTGGGCCAAAGTGGGGAGGCCCAGCGGAGTTGCCATGGGCCCTCTTGCCTCAATGCTGGGATTCTAGAGGTACACCAGAAGTCAGCTTTCCAATGATTTCAGGGTTTGGGGTGGAAAAGGAGGATTCGATGAGGACTCCCCCGTTGCCCCACACCATGGTTGCTTAGCTCTGCAGTGTTCCTTCTTTTATCTGTTGGAGGAATAGGTTTCTCTCATCTTCTGGAGTCCGCCCATTCTGGGCCCGGACAATGCATGTGGGCCGGTGCAGGTTGAGCATGTATATCAAATGCTGCTTCTCATTCTTCAGCTCCTCTATCTGCGCCTTCAGCTCGGCATTCACACTCTCCAGCTTCTCTGACTTCTGAGGGACAAGCGGCAGAGGCATGAGGAAGGAAGCCACCTCGGGGGACACCTGCAGAGGGAACCTTGTCCCCATGAAGACTAGGGAGGGGAGTGTGCAGACCTGGAGAAGCCTTTAAACCTGGGGGCCTCTTCAGAGAAGCTCTGGCGATGCCACCAAGGAGGCTTTGATGCTACCAAGGCCAAAGCTGCAATAGGATCAATAGTTCAGAGATCTCTGCATGGCTCTAACAGCCCACATGCAGGGCACCGAGACCCAAAGGGCTAGGGAGAAATCCAGTCTCATGGTGTTAAGTCTGGGAGTCACTGACCTCACTGAGAAGCTCACCTTCCCAGAAAAAACGTACTCGGCAAACACAAATTTCTTCATTTCTATGGACTCACTGAAGCAACAGCAAGGGCTTCAGGGCCCTATGGCACCTGGGTTGGTACTCTGCTCTGGCCTGTCCACACTGGGGGAGTGACGTGGCTACTGGGAAGACACAGGGCTCTGAGGCCCACATGGACTGCCCCACAGTGATCCCAAGGAGCCAGGGCTCAAAAGCCTGTGTGAGGCAGAAGACAGGAACCCAAAGAAAGCGTAACCACAGCTTTCGGATCCAGGAAAGAACTTGTTTGAGGAGATTAATGAAAGGCTTCTCATATGGAGCCAAATGAGAGCTGCCAATTTCCTTGTGGGAAAACAAGCAGGTGAAGCCTCTTCAGCTGCACTGGCCAGGAGGGTGCTGCATCTGTGAGGAATGGCCAAGGCTGCTGGGAGTGCGTGGGAGGATTTTAATTCATACCTGCTTTTCCTGCACCCAGCGTCCCATCCACTGTGCTAACAGCTTGGCTACCTCCTCATTCTGGACCTGGCATTTCTGGTACCAACTACCAGGCTTTGTAACTCCCCTTCTGACAGCAACACAGGCTGGCAGGGGGCAGGAGTGGGGGAGACGAGGAGCACTCACTTTCTGCAGGCACTCTGTCTTCTCCTTCTTCTTGTTTTGGCACTTAGCGGCTGCAATCTTATTTCGTTCCCGTCGCCTCTTTTTCCTTTCATCTTCTTCAGGGGCTACCTATCAAACCCCAAAGGCTCACATTCAGTGCTACCACAAAATGACATGCATTTCAAATTCACTGTCTTTCACTGCCAGCAGAGTCTGGAAAGCGGAGCAGCCTCCATGCTCAAGGGACCCAGGACACCCAAAGCCCTAGGCTTTTACACGGAACCCCTGAACACAGGCACGCACCTGTGCATACTTGAGAATGAATAACGAAAGCCAACTGTGAAAATACGACGGTCCTGGCACTATTGGTAAAGCAAAATCTTAACCTATTCTAGATATGGATTTGGACTTTGGATATTGATAATTATTGAGACTGACTATAGTCATTTAGAACAGGAAACAGATTCTGGTAAGAATGTCCCTTTCCCCTAAATGTGGAGGGGCCTCCAGACCATCATGTGGCCACCCTCTCTGCCTGTCTCTTCTCTGATCCAAGACCCAAGGGCAACTCCACTCTTCTCTATGTTCATGTGAAGCACTGTGGCACCAACTTCCTGAATTTGGAAGATGCCTGTGGAGCTCCTGCAGAAGAGGGACTTGAGTCCATCCCAACCAAGGTGGCATAAATCAGCCCATGGCTGGGCACTGTATGTGGGTGGGGAACCAGAAGCATCCACTGACTGAGCCAATAAATCTATACTGGCCTCCAAACCTGTGCCTCCCCGTGAGCCAGCCTGGAGCTCCCGGAGAACAAAACCCTGTCCTGCTGCTTTGGGATACAGTGTCCATGGCAGTCCCTGGCTTTGTCTGGACTGATAAGGGACTGGCATCTGACCACTGGGCTTAGCTTAGAGACCAGAGTTGAGCTGGAATGAAGCACTCGTGGTGAGCTGGGCGACCCGAGTGAAGGGACTGAACTACGGGGCTTGTAGGTGAGGACTTTGACACATCCTAACCAATGGCTTCTCCAAGAAGCTGTACCCAGGGAGCCTCCATCAAAGACCAAGTGCTCTACCACTGAGCTACACTGCACGAACCCCTAAAATTGAGGAGTTTTTAATGTTCGAGAAGTTCAGGCCACATTCAACTAATGTTGGAGTAATGATGTCCTCGCATGCTGTTACTCTCAGGCAGGCAGGGGAGTGCAAAAGACAAATAATATCTCAATATTATTGTGAAAGTAGCTTTCACCTCATGGACCTGAAAAACATTTGAATACCCAAGGATTCCCCAAGCCACACTTTGAGAACCACTAATTTACATACCACTTACTAAAACATTTAAATCAGGCCTATGCTTATTGTG